TAACTCATGTTACAATATAACAGATTTCCAGGACTTGAGCTGCTGCTCTCTAAACCTTCTGCACTCATAAACTTGTTAGTCTCTAAGGTGCCACAAGTACTCCTGTTCTTTTTGAGATTGTAGTGCAAAACCTTAACTGCTCAGTTACACCCTTTGAGATATCCCTAAGGGAACATTAGTAAAATTCCTCTCTCCTGCCTCATGCCCCCAAAAGGGTGTGTGACAGACATTGCAATTCCATTTAATATCTTTGAGGACTTGTGATATTTGAGGGATCATTCAGCTCCATTAGGAATTCTGTCACCACCTGCCCTGGCACCCTGGGGGAGGGGGCATAATGCTATGGTTCTATGGCACAGTGACCAGGGAGATTGAAGTGTTCTCCTAGGGGCTTGTTTACCTGCACATCTACCAATGTGATATATACCATCATGTGCCAGCAATGCCCCTCTGCCATGTACCTTGGCCAAACCGGACAGTCTCTATGCAAAAGAATAAATGGACACAAATCAGACATCAGGAATCATAACATTAAAAAACCAGTAGGAGAACACTTCAGTCTCCCTGGTCGCTCAATAACAGAGCCTAGAAGTGGCAATTCTTCAACAAGAAAACTTCAAAAACAGACTCCAACGTGAAACTGCAGAACTGGAATTAATTTGCAAACTGGATACCATCAGATTAGGCCTGAATAAAGACTGGGAATGGTTGGGTCATTACAAAACCTAAACCTAATTTCCCCAATACTAATTTCCCCCTACTGTTACTCACACCTTCTTGTCAACTGTCTGAAATGGGCCACTCTCATTACTACTTCAAAAGTTATTTTTCCTCCCTTCGTATCCTGCTGTTAATTGATTTGTCTCATTAGACTGACCTACACTTGGTAAGGCAACTCACATCTTTTCATGTATTTATACCTGCTCCTGTATTTTCCACTCCATGCGTCTGATGAAATGGGTTCTAGCCCACGAAAGCTTATGCCCAAATAAATTTGTTAGTCTCTAAGGTGCCACAAGGACGCCTTGTCATTTTTGCTGATACAGACTAATGGCTACCTCTCTGAAACCTGTACCATGGATTGTTACTTGCATCTGGTTTTCTGTAAACATCTGGCTTGGGAGGAGTCCCATGCTGCAGTGAGGTGTATTTGAAATTGTAAGTCATGAGCATAGTATTCTACATACATCTTCATAGAATCATAGAAGATTAGGGTTGGAAGAGACCTCAGAAGTCATCTAGTCCAACTAAATCATCCCAGCCAGGGCTTAGTCAAGCTGGGCCTTAAAATCCTCTAAGGATGGAGATTCCATTCCCTCCCTAGGAAACCCATTCCAGTGCTTCACCAAGCTCCTAGTGAAATAGTTTTTCCTAATATTCAACCTAGACCTCCCACACTTCAATTTGAGACTATTGCTCCTTGTTCTGTCATCTGTCACCACTTAGAACAGCCTAGCTACATTGTCTTTGGAAGCCCCCTTCAGGGAGTTGAAGGCTGCTATCAAATCCCCCCTCACTCTTTTCTTCTGCAGACTAAATGAGCCCAGTTTCCTCAGCCTCTCCTTGAAAGTCACGTGCCCCAGGCCCCTGATCATTTTCGTTGCCCTCTGCTGGGCAACCAATCCCTGGGCACTCCACTTGATACCGGCTGCCAACTAGACATCAGGCCGTTGATCACTACCCGTTGACCCCAACAATCTAACCAGCTTTCTATCCACCTTATAGTCCATTCATCCAGTCCATACTTTTTTAACTTGCTGGCAAGAATACTGTGGGAGACCATATCAAAAGCTTTGCTAAAGTCAAAATATATCACATCCACCGCTTTCCCCATATCCACAGAGCCAGTTATCTCATCATAGAAGGCAATCAGGTTGGTCAGGCATGACTTGCCCTTGGTGAATCCATGTTGACTGTTCCTGATCACCTTCCTCTCCTCCAAGTGCTTCAAAATGGATTCCTTGAAGACCTGCTCCATGATTTTTCCATGGACTGATGGCAGTAGAAGGGACATCTAAATACATAGCTTCATAACCATAGTCTGCATACATATCTCATAACCACCATCAAGTTCAGAACATTACAAACTTTCATAAAAGACCTTACTTGACTTTTGTATACACCATAACATTGTATACAACCAGTAGATTCAGGAGCTTGCTCTTTGGGGTTCAGGCCCCCTGCTCTCCTCTGTCGCGGGGCATGTGCGTCTCGTCCTCTTTTGGGATGGCGTAAGGGTTGTTATACCCCCGAAGCCAAGTCTGCGTGACCACTCTGGATCTCAGGGTACTGTGGACTAACAGCAAAAGTCAATACAGCTGCCCTTTTGCTGGGGCAGGATGGCCTTATGGCCAGAGTCAATATAAATGCCCTCCCTATTGGGGGAGGGGAGGTTGGCCTACCAGCCAGAGTCAATATAGCTGCCCTCTCTATCAGGGCAGAGTGGTCTAACAGCTAGAGTCAATAGGATTGGTGAGGTGGGCCACTGCCCCAGGATCATCCGCAGCCACGGTTGGGGGACCCAGGCCCACCAGGTCCCAACCCAGGGCGTAGGTGGTGACAGGATTGCCCGCCACCAGCTCGATGGGCATCCTGCCAAAACACTCTGAGATAGTTACAGAACTGTAAACTGGTTCCCTGCAAATTTTCCCTGGGTCAATTCCTACCCATTTTTCTGCGGTATGCCATCTCAGCATTCCCACGGTCACTCCTTCTTCTGGGGCACCTGGACGCTGGGGTTCATGGTTTGTCACCATCTGGCTGGCCTCCGTGTCTTGAAGTGCCAGCAGTTGTTCTGCAGGATCCTGCAGTGCACCTCCCTCCTCTCCAGCAGTCCACCCTGAATGAGCTGGGCTGCTCCCTTTTTTACCTAGTCTCCAGCCAGACCATGCCCAGCAGGGCTGAGGGGGCATGCCCTCCTCAGCCCAAAGAGAGGAATTAACCCCTGCAGTACCAGTGTGGGGCATGCGCACCCCATCACATCCCCTTAGGGTCTCTGGACCCTGATTGTCATAGGACCATATTGTACTAAGTTTATGTATCACTGTGGGCCAGAGATTGCATGCAGCTCCGGGGGAGGGGGGAGCAAACACAGGAACCAAAAACAGTGGGAGGTAATTAAGGTGAATCACTTAAGTTGTAAACAGCTTGGGGGAGAGACCGCCACCTGCAGAGGCTGGCATACAGTGGTTCAGACTGGATTTTCGTGAGACTAACAAAGGAAGGGCTTTTGATATTAAAAGGCTGAGTTTAAACTGACTCAGGGCCTTCCTTCTGATCCAGCAAAAGGCCAGGATTTTCTGTCCAAGTGGAGCCCCAATCCCTGTGGTAGGATTGGAAAGATGTTGCTGTGCTAGGGCCATATAAGACTGGTGGGCCACTCCTGCTGTGTTCAGTGTATCTTTAAATCTGTTTATTGTTTTTATTGTGTTTTCTTCGTAAGGTTTTACCTTAAGAATAAATGTGCTTGCTTAAAAAGAGCAGTGTGGTAATGGCCAGCAATACATTCTTCCTAGCCCTTAGAGACAGACAACCTAATGCACAGACACTGGCCTTTAGGCAGACAGGCTTGCTGGGGATATCATATTGTCAGGACCGGTGCAAGGATATTTTGCGCCCCTCCCCCACCCCGCACATCGGTTCATTGAGGGGCAAATGCCAACGAGCCTTTATAGATCCTAGGGACCAGCCGTGCCCAGGGGCCAGCCGTGCCCAGGCCTACTCTCCAGACCAGGTTCCCCCCTCCCCGCCCCCTGAACTCCCCTGGAGGGTGCACAGCCCCCCCCCACGAGCCCTCCCCACCCTACCCCATCCCGGCGTTCCCCGTCCCGAGTCCACTCACTGGCTTTGCCGGGCTTGGGCCGCTGCAGCAGTTCGGCAGGGAGGAGTCACCTTCCGGAGGCACCAGAGGGGCAGAGCATTGGCTTGCGGTGGTGGCGAGCCCCAGCCATGGAGGAGCCGGCGCGGCTCAGGGCAGGGGGGCAGCAGCCCTGCAAAAGTAGTGGCGCGACTAGCGGGGAGCAGCCGCGCCTCCCACCCCTCCTGCCCAGGCTGCGGCTAGGCACCCCTTGTCATGGAGTGGGGGGAAGTCAGGGCCCTGCACCCCTCTTCCTGTGATTCACCGTGACTCTCAGCCAGCCAGTAAAACAGAAGGTTTATTAGATGACAGGAACACACTCCCAAGCAGAACGTGTAGGTACAACCAGGA